GGGTTAGCGAACTCAAATGCGGTAGGCATGCCTCTTGATCCGAATATTCCCCTCGAGAAGGAGGAAATTGGGATCGATGACGTGCAAAACCGTAGCAACGGATATGCATCACTCATCGGATCTCTAATGTATGCTGCTGTGGCAACGCGCCCAGACATTGCTTATGCGGTACAACACTTAAGCTCTTTCACTGCCAATCCTGGCATGGCACATTGGACAGCCGCAAAGCGCGTCCTCAGATATTTATCTGGCACACGAGATGTCAGAATAGTATATGGTCCCAAAGAAGGGAAACCATACCTCGAACAATGTAAATTCGAGGGATATTCCGATGCCAATTTTGCCAATGATGAAGATCGAAAATCGATCTCAGGATATGTTTTCCTAGTAGGCACAGGTGCGATGACATGGAGCTCGAAGAAGCAATCCACTGTCGCATTATCTACTATGGAAGCCGAATATACGGCATTTGCTCAAGCTGCAAAAGAGACGGTATGGCTGCGAAATCTATTCAAAGAAATAGGTTTCGAACAGACCGAACCGACAATTTTGAACGGCGATAATATGAGCGCTATATCAATTGCGAAAGATCCGCAATTCCATGCGCGATCAAAGCATTTCGATATCAGACATCATTACATTCGAGAGAAAGTTAATGATGGAATTATTCAGGTAAAATATTGTCCAACAGGCGATATGACCGCGGACATCTTTACCAAGCCTCTTGCTAAGCCCAGGCATCAAAAACTAATGGGATTACTAGGGATGCCCGTCGGCTTGAGGGGGAGTGTTGGGAATGCCCGGAGGGAGCAATCCGAGAGCACCCAGTGAAGACGTTGTGGCTGGCACCACATTACGTAATATCCCAAATATGTACTTATATATAAAGTAATCCTAATTAGGGAGCTCGGCATATAAGCCCGAGCTCTCCTTGCCCCGCTCCATCATCCGCTCGCTCGTCCTCCCGGATTCTGGCGAACGCTACAAAGAGGATTACCATCGGAGGCGCTACCTATCGTCCTCATTCCATCTCGCCAAAGGATGCCAATATTGTCTTCGTCTCACCCTATCAAAAACACAAAAAAGCTGGGAGAATCATACAGATATTTTTGCATGAAAGACGGACCGCTCAAGGTAAATATGTCCAGGAAACCTTCTTGACCACTGAGTGCCTAGAAGAACTGTCAGCATCTGACGCGATCAAGGACCCATACCATCGATTTCCAATAGTCGGCGGCGAACTGTTCTATGACACATACTCTCCTCATGTCGTAGTGATCAGGCCCTCCCATGTCAAGTCTCATTGTGCAAGGACTGCTCTCAATATCTGTGGCATTGAAAAATCATGTGTGCATATCCTACCATTAGATCGGGTCAGTGCTGAAACTTGTGTCAAGCCATGGTCATGCTAACGCTTGTGCAGATGATGGATCTGGTGACAATACCATTTGAACCAGATGTCGAGATGGAAGATGACTTCATAGAGGATGGTTGGATGATTACGGATGGCGTGTTCAATGATGTGCTCTGATCAGTGAAATACAACAATTACTCTACCCGTGTAAGTCAAGCAAGTGCAAGATCGAGGGCAGAGGGAGAGGGGACAGAGGTCGACGGTTTCTCTATAGGATAACCGGCAGCAATACGCAATGCTGAACATGATATATTGAATATACATTTCAGTAGTGTACCAGCCTTCAGCAATCCCGGTGATGCCAGTGGTGCGATGGATGAACGGAGTTGCTAAATATCGGCGATGTAGTCTTCTGACTTTGTGTAAGCTGGTAGGCTGCCTCAGCTCCTGAATATTGAATGCCAGGACACAGCGTAAACATCATTACGAGCTCCACTAGAGTTCCAGAGGTAAGTGTTTCGAGCAGGCCAACTGGCATCTCGCAAGCACTAAGTGCCTGAACCCTCCACCATGTAACAATGACGAGAAGACGACGGCCGTAAATTTGTCAGTGTCAGCGATCGTCTTCTGGTCTAGACTACAAATTCCAGCATGTGCCGTAGGTTGTCGTGCTGGAGGCGTCATGTCCTGTCTGTCGTCCGGCGGCGACGTCATGCCAGAGCCTCAGAGGATGGCCCCGAAGGGGGGGGGATGAGCTCTTCAGTGCCTGACGTGCGAATTGGCCGCGCGATGGTTTGATCCGGGGCAGTTCGTCTTGCCAGAGGTATTCCGTGCCCCATCATAGTTTTTGGAGACGTTGTTGGGTGACAAAAATCCCCAATGGGTGGGACGATTCGTCGAGCACACGTGTCTTGATGGACTGCAGTTCTTCAGCTAACATATCGAGGTGATATGCACCAGCCGCTGACGAAGGCACTGCCGGCACGCTGACTCGTGTATCCACTTCGGTAGCATTGTTCGTCATTGACTGCATCATGATCGAATGAAGGGTCGCCGGACTAGTGGACGTGCTGAATGCTGGATTGGTGGATGCATTGAGCAGAAGAGCTGGCTCCGGGACCATCTGTAGAGGTACCGGCAAATCGTTGGCTTCTCGAGCTTGAATTCATGCCCGTCTGTGGGTGTCTATGGATGCCCAAAAATGTGAGAGGGTCGACACTATTTGTATAGCAAGTTACATGAGGTCTATGTCGAAAGATGAATTAGAATTAACATAATGATACCATATGAAGGAGATTAAAAAGATCCTCCAGGGTCTAGCCAGCCTGAAGATCGTCAGCGCGGATATCGTCGAGGTCGCACCAGGTAAGTGCCTGTCGTGTGTATAGACTTCGAACCCCAGCTCAATAGTGCTTATCGTGTGGAGGATACGACACGCAGGGTTAGTGTAATGAAATTATCTTTGGCTATGGGTGATCACTTACAATTCATTTTTTCAGACGAAATCACACAGATTACCACTGCGAACATCAGATCGGAGATACTCCCTTTAATGGCGAAGAGTCCGCTGGTTGCCTAAAGCTGTAGATAGTACAGATATTATAGATGCGAATAATTATGCACTCACGGTGCAGAGCATACTCAACAGACTGTCCGCTAGAAATATTCTCGAGCAGTATATTAAGAAGTACGGTCATGCAAATACGTCCAGTAGCGTTGGTCCCACGAGCTCTGTGACACGCATAGTGGTCTTGTTGAGGCTCTCGTACATAGTAGCTGCTAATTTCCCTCGAGCAGGGTCATGCTGGAATGGTGCCGTGAGTGAGACACCTCCGAGGAGCTCGGAGGACATGCAGGCGCCTAATGTAGTAACGGGCGCTAACGACGGCTAGAGCCACATGTTGTGGCCTGTGGCGGGACTCATGATGCGGTGGTCAACTTTGCAACGCTGCCGTTCCCGCGTCCGCTCAGGCTCGGATGTGCGCTTTACACATCACCGCTGCCGAAGCTCAGATGCTTAAATACACCTCTGATTTGCACGCAGGCTTCCCCACTTATCCACACCCACCATCCAAACTTTCACACATCTCGCCATGCCTTCCACCAACCACCCTTCTTGTCGTGCTTCCCCTCCGCACAGCTCCCTCGCTTCGAGCAGGTCCTCGTTGTCTTCCTCCTCTAGTTGATCACCGAACTGAACCCCCAAGCAAATGTGATCCTCTGCGGACGTCATAGCATCGGATGGGTGCTCGCTACGTTCACACACCCGGAGGCGTTCCTCCCAGTCCAGTGGACGTTGCGTCCGGTTCTCTGAGGAGCTGGAGCATAATTCACCCCAGACTTACCAGCTTTCCGCCCGTCCGGAACCGCGGCATAATCCCAGGATTTTGAGGCCATCTGAATATTACTCCGAAATCGCTAGATGAAGCGCTCTCCGACGGAGCATCCCAATGGCGTCTCCTCCTCACCAAATCTCTCCTGACATTCACCCGCGCGTTCAATTTGAAGGAAGCGGAGATTCAGAGGACACTCTCTATGACCCAGAAAATGGGACCCAGGCATATGAGGCCCGAAGCGTACTATGCATCCTAATCCTCGGTCCCGGATCTCTTTAGCGGGCTCGTCACATCGGCACTCCCTGGAGAGAGGGCGTATGCACCCGACGCTAGGCTGCGCGATCGCCGTCGTGAGCTTTGGGAAGCTCATGCGCCAGTCGTTCGTGGTATGTTCGGCAGTGTCGGCACGCATGATGGCCAAGACCGCATGCTTGACCCAGACGATCCGGACGTCACGGGCATTCGCAAAGAGCGCCTCAACGATCTTTACCACGATGAGAAGCAGAAGTTGTGCTTGATGTCGTACAGGGAGCGGCTCAAGTACCTCGTGCTAGGGTCGTGTTCAACAAGACCAGTATGTCTCGTATTCCTGCTGCTACATGCTAGTGCTGATCTTTTCTGCAGCGGTCGGACATCGGCAGAACTTTATATTGACCCTCGCCAAGGCCCTGATCAGGTACGACGCACTGTCTCACCGTATTGAGTCTCAATTGCTCTCGGCTGGGAAAATTCTTGGTCTCAAATGTCTGAGGACAGAAGTCATCCTCGTGCCGACTATATGTTTCCGGGACATTCTCTTACCCATGCCCCCCCCTCGACTCCGTGCTCACCAAAGAGCCTGGCAGCTTCGAGATGCTGAAGATTCGCTGAAAGAAAGGCCGTTCGGTCCCTGAATGTGCGAACTGCGGAGAATGGGTCAATTTGGCCGTCGACGTCGCCGTGTAGATAGAAGCCGCATTAGGCACCTGAGCCAGAAGAACAAAGACACTCACAGTCGATTTTGACTTTCTAACCTGGAGTCAGCAGAACGTAGTATGTGCTTCCTGAGGTGCGACTCCCACACTCGCTTTGGTCGTTACTGGGTGACGAGTTGTGCGATGGCCGTGAGCGCGGACGCGGATCTGCTGGCACGTATATGACACTCGTCGCAGGGGTGTGAGCATCACAGCTCACGCTACAGCCGCTACTGTAGCAGCTATTCTGCCATACGGAACTAGTGCAGGCTCCTCAGCGATAGCTGGGAAAGAGTGGATGGAGTGGTGCGGGGGGGGGGGGCTGCCGTACCGAGGCCGGTGGGATCGCTGGGGAACAGGTGCAGAATGACTGTATGCAATTGTAGGTGCCTCGCGAGAGCGAGGGGCCTGGGTGGCTGGTGGAAGTACACAATCGCAGGAGGGCTGTAGTGTGACTAAGAATGCTTCGATGAAGGGGCATAGACAATTGCTGGCGGGTGATATGCATAGGGTAACTGAGATTGTGCTGCTACGGAGCGTGCGCTAGAGACATAGGAGGTTGGCAGAACATGTGGGTGGAAGGGAGACTGTGAGTGAGAATAGACCATCGGTAGCAGACTGACCGGGAGAGGGACCCGTGTCTGATCGAAAGCGCGCACTGGCGATGGTGCAACCACACCTTGCTGGGAGCCATTGTGAGACGGCGAACACGACGCCCCTGGAGCGCATTCGGAATTTGCTGCAGCAGAGGAGGAGGTTCGCCCTGCAGTGACAACGACCCTAGTGCACCTGCTGGAGATTGCGAATGCGATCTAGAATCAGACGGGAGTTGTGAGACGGGCTTTGCGCTGCCTGTGAGCCTTCGCGCCGTGGGCTGCTGAGCCTCGCTCTCCTGACAGGATGGAAGAATCAAAATATTTTCTGGAGAGTGAAGAGGTGTATAGGGATCCTCTCCTTGCGGTGGATTGGAAGGATGACTCACGTCATATGAAAGGGATTGCGTGAAGGGTACCTGGGTCTTTGACATTTTGCTCTGGTGGTCCTGTACATGCGAACCCGATTTCGAACGTCTATGTGCGACAACATATTCCTTTGATCCTATCCGCGAGTGAGAGCCTTCGTAGTTCATAGATATGGATATATCTGGCTTGCCACCCCCGTAGTGTAAGACCATCCGTGGTGGCAACCAGTGACTGCTTTCGTCGCCAGAATCCGGCCCATAGCTAGGCACGTCCGAGTCATCGAGGATAGACGGTGGATGTGACGGTGAAAGGAACTCTGCACTCACACCGTTTGGCAAGTGTGCATTGGCCCATCAAGCAGGGTGTTCCTGGGCAGTCAGGTACCCCCAAACAGTGTCTGAAGAAGTGGTGCATTCGGGCATGGCAGAGAGCACACTGGGAGTGGTCCCGGCGGTTGGGCGATGTCAACAGACAGAAGAGAAGAAGGCATCTGCTCCGCAGGGTACTCTATATTGTTCACAGTAAACGGACCGCGACGGCCATCTGGAACGGGCATTACCATGGCGTAGTTATCGGAATGTCCGAATGACCTGACTACAATCTCCTTCACGAGCATTTTCGCGGCAGCCTCGAGAGACTTTGCTCTCTCAGAGGAAGCCTCCATGATAGCAGCGGGCGACACGGGCGTCTGTATGAATATCAATGCTGCGCTGCTGCCTATATTGCTACTGGCTGACCTGGAGGCCTCAATGGTGTGCAGAGCGGCAACAGACGGGCATGATGGAACTGGGCCTGTAACAAGGTCAGACCGAGCGGCAGATATGATAGCGGCAGTGTCCATGGCCGCGAGTATGCAGTTGCATCATCATCATCCATCCATCCATCGTCCTCGTCGGAATCAGAGGGAGAGGTGGTGGTAATGGGCAGCATTTCATGTGGAAGAAGAAGCGAGAAATACGAGAGACTCCTGATGCAGAACCTGCCCTGACATGACCCGTAGTTCCGGGGACGGATCTCCGTAGTCATTGAGAAGCAGGAGGCAGCCAGGAGGATGAGACAAGTATACAAGATGAGGGAAAAGTAGGGCCGCATCCAGAATGACTCACGGAGAGTCACGTGACCACAGATTACGATGTGGGGCCGCCAGGCGACAGATCGGCTACCAATTTTTTGGAAAAATATGCCTAAACACCTGTCGGCAGCCAATTGCTGCCCAGCCCTTGCGATTGCGTAAAGCAATCACAGCAGAACGTGCAATTTGATGATGCGTGCCCATGTCTCGCGGCAGCCATACGGCTTTGTTGGCTCTCTTGAACACTATATTTGCAACAGTGGTCAGCGAGGACATGAAAAGCCATCCAACAGCAGTGCGACAATCAGTGTGTCGAGGCGAAAATAGCCGTGGTTGTGACGGAAGTCGACGTCAAACTATCGTAAAATGAAAATGGCCACCTTTGTGATGCGGCTCCCACTGAGTGAGCCTGCACTTTTTTTCTTTTTTTTTTATTTACAATTTGTATACCGCCGAAGGCGGTCGATGGTGTGTGTACAGGGAGATGCCTACGGCAGACTGGACGCATCCAGGGACGAATACAAGGCGCGCGCATCAAGTGCAGTGAGCCTGCACTGTGCAAGGAAAGTAAGCATATTCGTGTCCTTTACGCAACTATCGCGATCACGTGGGCGTGCACAGGCGACGACTTGCTCCCCGTCCCCCCAGCCTCGTCGGTACATTCTGCTCCCTGTCCACCACACCTGCACCTAACGGCATTGACAAAGCGATGCTGAAGCACGTGCTAGATGCCGAAAATGCTTCCTTGACCGAGACGCCACAGTCCAAGAGCTCCGCGACCTCACACGAGCAGCCCCGAGCGGGATCTACCACTCATATCTTCACCACTCAGCTTCGCTCATTAAGCAGCACTCTGTGGACATACCCTACGCCATCAGATTCGCCATCGAATCTGTTCAGTTTCAAACACTCGCTCGTCGCGCTTACCATCCCCCAGCTGACCCGCTTTGGCCAACATCTTGCTCTACACTTCCAGCTTGTGTATGATCCTCCTAGAAATGAAGCAGATAGGACACTGAAGAACCAGCTTCACAATGTCTATCGTATCGTGCAGGTCCCGAAGAGCTACACTCTGCGCCACATCCATCATCTCATCTTGTTCCTCTTCGCAACTGATACATGGTTGGATGTACCGCCGACAGCCAAGGCACTGACGAAGCGGAATCGAAGCAGGCAACTTATCGACATGAAGAGAGTTGCAGGCAAAGGGCTTGTGGGGAAGGGAGCACGGCGAGACACAGCACAGGGGATATGGCGGGGAAGGTCTGGTACGCCAGATTATTCATTTGCCTTCCACCCGGCCGTCACTTCTGCGGTTCCGGAAGGCTGGATCAGACACGTCTTCGAGATACGCGGTGGTATTCAGTTCTCCGGCTCGAATGAGCGACCCAGGATCAAGCCGAACACCGGACGGGTCCGCAAACGAGCGTCGAGCGTACGAGAACAAATACTGTTCCGAGACCTCTATGATAAAGAGTGTGCTGCACTGTACCCAGAGGAAAGCTTTGCTTTCTCGAGTGCCAGCAGCGACCTGGATGTTGTATCGAGCGTGGATGAGACCGGGTTCGAAGATGACGCCTGTGGGACTGCAGGATGGATGTGGGAACCGGAAGATGACTACACTCTAGATAAAGTATGGTGCGGTTCTGTCCAACTTGGACTGCAGGAAGGCATCATATATGTACGTAAGCTCTCGTAGCCATGTCTCATCACATTGTGTTGACTTGCATCCGTAGCGCCGTCTACCAGGCATTTCAGTACAGATTACCATCAACAGGACGAATATTCCGGTGCATAGAGGACGGGGCAACCAGCCTTATGTGTTTAAGTGGCGCGGCAGCTCGCGAGGCGTGATCCGCATAGCCGCATGTGGACGCAAATAGGATGGCACCCGAGGAAAGCAAGGAAAGGACACCAACTTGATGTACCTCACAAATGAAGTGTTCGAGGACGAAATGGAGAACGAAGAGGAACGTCTCCAGAAGTGGCATGACCCCAACACATTCGCCCGCTTCCTGGAGCACGAGTCGGCGCGGGAGATTACGTCTCGAAAATCCTCTGCCGCGCCTGCGCTAGGATTGGAGGACTCACCCGTGCTCCCGGAACAGCTCGAAACGACTATGTCTCCCTTTTTTCCATCCTCACCGTTGATTTCGAGTGAAGCCACGTTGCCCCAGCTCTCTTTCGCCTCTCTCGCCTCGCAGTCCGACTACTCGTCTGTGTCGTCATACCCATCCCGCCACTCCTCTTCGGTCTCCCTTTCAGATTTCCTCCTGGCGTCGCTGCCGGGGATCACGCCTGCCCCGGCAAATCCTATACTCGTGTGTCGTGTGGCGCAGCAGCATCTTCATTTCGAGCGGCTCGCGAAGGATGGACTCCGACCCATGTTGATCAACGGGCGGCGTGTCAAGGAAGATGACAGCAATAACAATGACGATGCCGACGACAAGGATGAGAAGGGAGTTTCTGATCTCAAGCCGCATAGAAAGTCGCCGGGCATTGTGAGAAATGACAAGGAGGGAGGCGAAGCCAAGAATCGTAGCCCACTTAAGGGACATCCGAGATACGTGAAACAGGGACGAATTGAAAATCGGAACGTGGACTCTAAGAAATAAATATGAGATACCCCAGGATCTATTGTGCTACGGAATAGGAAATATGGATAGGATCATCATTGTACTACGAAACATATATAGTCGCTTATATGATATGGAAGGTATATCACCGTTTTTACGCGTCTCCGCGGATCATTCGAACCTGGGTGCGTGTATGCAAGACTGGATGAAATGAACATTAACAGTTGCCATAAATATGATGAGTATCCAGAGAAATACATGTGTCATTGACCAAAGAACATCACAAGCTAAAGAAAGTCCGACTATCTCAAACCTTTAGGACATCTTTGAACCAGTTCCCTAGCCCTGCCTTCCACCGGAACTGCTCTGGAAGAAGTTGAAATGCCTATTAGTATGCCTAGCAGGACGAGGTGGAGGCAAGCTAATGATGCAGGAGCATCAGAACCAGGAAGTGTGGGATAAGAGGCTGCACTTACTTGAACAACTCATCGTCATGAATGAATGAATATTCTGCGCCTCTACGAAGATCTTCTAGTTCGACCGGATGCAGTCGTCGGAGCCACTCTGGATTGTAAGTATTACCTGGCAATCCAGGCACTGGGCGACGGCTGCTATAATCCTGTGGACGAGCAGAGTTAGGCAGGATAGCAGTTCGTACACGTGGAGGGGCGCCGCGGTCATCCTCCTGCAAATAAAATTTCGAGAAACGGTATGTAGTGTCGAAAACTCGCAACCAGCTATTGAGTGCTGGGCTCCTCCACGGCATAATTGATATGCAATACTGTCGCACTCCCAAACCCATATCGACGGGGTCGGGCTCGTCAGAGCTCATACCATCCGGTCTGAGGTCTCGCAGGATGTTCACATGCTTCCGCAGTTGAGCAGTATTTACAGCGATTTTGAGCCGTTGTTGAAAGAGCTGGCCATCATACTACATGAGAATGCAAGCGTAGACCAGAAAAGAAAAGCTCACAGTATGTCTTCGCTGGTCCTTCGCATGGTTGTGCGTACTCCGGCTAATTTCTGCGTCCGTCTGCCTTTGCCGTTCGTAACGCCTTTTTAGTGTCCTGAAATGGGCAATGAATGCTCTCTCAATCTTGATCTCGCTTCGACACTGATATACTTCCGCCGCGATGAAGTCCTTCACGAAAACCTTGGCTACAGACTTGTTCCAAGGAGTTGCCGCTGTCGCATTGAGGTCCATACGAAAGCGTTCTGGACTACAGCAACGGCTGACACTGTCCCATGCTCGGATATCTTCCGGAGACACTATACACGCTTCATCAATGGGCGAATTTCGATTCTCACACCTCATGAGAATCCTGGAATGCTCTCTGACCTCCTCCTAAAGATGATACATTGTTCAGTAGTTATGGGATGCATGAATGCAATGATACGCACGGCAAGCCGATTTTCCACGACAGATCGATGTTTGGTGAATCCGGCTTTTCGTCGGCGAAGAGGAGAGGGTCCTGGATCATCGCTCTCATCATCTCCGTCGTCTCCACCATCGACGTTCATATCATCGGAGGGTCTACGCCCACTCCGTGGCACTGAGGACGAGGGATTCGCAATCTGGAGCGACAACGCTCGTACTTCTTGTACTAATTCGGCTACTGCACCTGTGAGGGATTGAATGTCACCTCGAGTCGCAGCTGGGGGCTATGCAAGTGTGAATGCGGACTGTCAGTGTAGAAAAAAATACAAGGGCTTACGGCGCTTTCACCATCTCGCTCTGACTCTGGATCTGGTAAGCGCCCAGGTGTTAGATGAGACGCTGGTGTTGTGTGTGTCTCGGGTGGTAAAGAATGTCTCGGAGGCGATGTTGCATGGGTGATCCTTCCATCAGAAAGTCCCATCTGAACACCAGGAGAAGAAGCTTGCATTCTCCACAGTGAGGAGATCCGCGACGGAGGCATCAAATTTGAGTTATGAGAACGACTCCAGTGGTCGATCTTATGATGAGATGCTGTAGATCGTGCACTCTGTGATCTTGGAGAGGATAGAGAAGCCAGCTCATGCTGCCGTAGATTAGGATTCGCGCCAGTTGTTTCCGTGGATGAAGAATATACGCCACGAGCTGAGGAAGAGGCATCGAAATGATGAGTTCCAGATCGGTCATCACCGAGCCTTGTAACTTCAAGAAATGCCTGCTCGTCGAAGGGTCCCTGCCCGCGATGCGCCCGTTGATGGTGGCTCCGATGACTTGGACTAGCAATCTCTGAGCTTGTGGTGACTTGCCTCACGTCAGCATTAGTGCGGTTCATAGCAGTCTCTTTGATTTGAGGATAGTGGAGATGGGAAGACGGTGACGCAGAGGTAGGACCACCATTGGAGAGTGCAGCTGTCTCGAAGTTGAATAGAGATGAAGTATTATTTGGGATCGAACGTGCGTCCTCATGCCTAGGGATCGGCGAAAGTGAGGGATTCGAGAATACTAGATCATCCTCATCAGCCGATAAACGACGGAGGCCGAAAAGATGGTCAATGTTGGTAGCAGTGTCTGTTTCCATCTCCAAATGTTGTGAGTCTCATGGGACGGGTAGAGCATGTGTTAGCACTGATAAATATACCTCCATTTGACCTGAAGAGTCCTGTGTTCTGTCATACACTGTGTGCGGACATGAGAGAAGCCTCCTCGATGATTCTACGGGCACTTGTTCACCGACAATTCTAGCATTACTGAGCCTGTGTAGCGAATGACCATGTGACGGGTTGCTTTCGGAGGAGCCTTCATCGAGACCACTGGGTGGCAGAGCAACAATCGTGCGAGTGCCAGCTATCATGCTCGATATCTGCCCTGCTTCACGCCCCTCCATGCTTTGTAGAGTCCCAGAAGGAGTTGACGAAGTATCAAAGGAAGTGATAGCAGCTGTGCAGATTTCATCCAACGTTCTACGACTGGCTTTGATACTAGGATCGTGTCGGTTGCGTAGAATTGCAACTGCAAGATCCTGTGCACTTGGATGGGTGTCTTCTGCATCCGTTCTTCGGAAAGGCGATGATGGGTGATCAGCATTTGACAGTTCCCGAGAATTGCTAGAATGCAGAACTGTTCCAGCCCCTCTGCTCTGCAAAGTAGTCGCCAGTCCGACTACCTCAACGCTCGCTGTAGAACGTGCCAAGTTGAAGGCGGACACTGGCAGTGGACAGGATCCAATCACAGATGTAGGCAGATGCGTATGCTGAGCAGGATGAACCACATGCGGTGACGAAGCACTAGCATCGACAAAGGGTAAGTGACACATAACGGACACTCCGTTTCCAGCAAATTGCGCAGAAGAGACCGCCAAACTTTCAGCAGGGGGTGCCGGTGCACTACCGCTGGAAGGTTCTCGATGTGGCACTTGCACTAGCATGTTGTCTGAAGACGGGGCAGCTGGCATACGAAATGTAAAATCGAATGTCGGCCTCACCGCGCTGATTGAGATACCCCCTTCGCGACGGCCCTGGAGGTTAGCTCCAGGTTTTTCATCGGTGTCAGGGAGTCCGGAAGTGCCTGGGACAATACGTGCAGCAGCCATTGCTCGTGACACTGGGGAGCTATGATGTCGGGCAGACTGTAGTACGCGTCTTTTCTTCAAAGAACCCTCAGTGGGATGAAACGTTGTCGTGCGCACACCGTCTGTTGGACCCGCAGCTCGTCTTGTGACTTCCATTTCAGTGGATGTTGATGCCGTAGACGTCGATGTCTCAGGCGGTTGAGTAGCGAAGAGCACCTCCTCTGGATGTAAAGTTTCGAAGGGGGGTGCAGGCCTCTTTCTTCCTTGACAAGATGCCGAGTACCGGAGACCACCAGCCGGGTCTGCATGGCACTAAGTCCATCGTAAATTGTCAGGATAAACCACTGACCATCAGGGCCGCCGGGACTACCGAAGACTCTCCATGAACCAGATAAGCCTATTTCTCGCTCTCTGGTCAGCCAGCGTTCTTTTAGCCACTTTGACGGGGAAACATACCACGATAGGGCCTTGCTGGTATTTCGACACCCATATTGCCTTCACTTGGTCCTACCGTGCCGTCGCTCTGGTCTAATGTAGTCGAGTATACTTAGGTGGTTTTCAATACCTTTCGGGAGATGGAAGCTAACCTGAGCTCTCGTTTGAGCTGTTGTTGATCGATTCTCTTGCAGAATGGAATCCTTCATCAGACATATCAGATTCTGGGCCACTGGAAGGTCCTGAAGCTATGGTTCCGATATTGCTGGACATGGAGGATGGACTACTGTGTGAAGAGCACCTGATGAACTTGGCCTTCAATTATTTGTGCTGTCACTAACCTAGCAATCTGCGCAAACGACACTCTAGGGCTGGTACCAGTAATAGATATCGATCAAGGCTTGAGATGGTGCATGTGATGCACGAGGCTGACAGCAGTAGTGCACCTGACGATCTCACCATGCTCCATGGTCTATAAGTGGAGTTCCAACGGCGAAGCCAAGCTGTGAGAAGACTGCTAGCAAGACGGACTTCAGAGGGAGTGAGCGTAGGCCATGAGTCTGATCTGTCGGAATGCCGCAATAACTTCACATTGCAGGACTGTCCGCGCGTGCTGCATCATACGCCAGTCGGATCTAGTGTAAGGTGCGTATAGAATCGTATGGGCTTTGAAATACCTGGCCGCAGTACACGAGCCGTCACACATTACATTGCTGAGAGTGTCCTTGCAGCTGTGTGGGAAAAGTGGACTTTGTGAAGTACACTTTCACCGGTTTCATGCCCATCGTAGGAGAGCATGAGTGATGCACACCCGTTCGAACAATCGCACTCACCCGATCACGCGTATTCTCATGGCTAGGGCTTTCATGACAGGAATTCAACTTCTCAACGGGGTTTCCAAAAGAGGTGAAGGAGAGCCGAGCTGCATGTACTCTCGATCAGTTAGCACCTGTTATGTAGTCCTCATACTGATTATCCAAAGTGTCTCTTCCGGCCACCTCCGTGTATGAATATGAATAGTCCACAAATTTCATCTCACACTACGCTCGGACCATGTGGGTCACTTATTGTAGGCAGCGTGGCCGTGCTGTGTTCTGTGCTTGTTACTGCTGAGCACCGCGCATAGAGCGGCGTCAGCCCCATGGTTCTCCGCCGACCGAAGTGAACCTTGAGCCTTACGTGCGCCATACGACAGAGTACCCTAGAATGTCGATGACTAGGCCAAAGTGTCACAAGCTCACCTGGTGAAACTGCCCATGGGTCAATTGCAATTGTTCACTGGATCACTGCCACCTCCGTGCCTCGTTTTATGACGCCGCCCACCTTCCTATCCCGGGCAAGCAGACCGACACGTCAGACCGCCTCCCAATTGTGAGTCACCTTTCCTCTGCCCAGTTCAGCATCAGCTATGCTGGGCTCCGTACCTTCTGGGTAGTATTGCACCCGGATAGACTGAGATAAAATGTATAAATAAACTGTTCCTGGATGTGATCTGCAACTGCATTGCTATCATGTTCGAGTGGTGTGCGGATAGTACTATGACTCACCGGTATCTCCGCCATTCTGACGCTCTCCTTGTTTCTGTGTCGATGGTCAGCGCATCACATGGAACACGCGATAATCAGCAAATCCTCAAATGCGAGCTTGACGGTGTAGCACCGAGGTTCCAGAAAGAAGTTGAGATAAACGTCGATATCACCGACGTGTCTGTGTACAATTGATCTGGTATATTCAGAATGATACAGATCGAAAGATTATCTGAGAAGTGAAGTCAATGTACTGCATAAAAAGGATTCATTGAGATAATTGATCATAGTCGAGACCTACCAAGAAAAAACATAACAATAGACTCAACAATCAAACAGACGAAAGTTTTGAGCTACATGACGTTGACTGGAATCAAGAATGATCGAAAAATGTCCTATGCATCATCCGTCATGATCGCAAATAATTGCTGTTCATTGATCTCTCCGTCCTGGTCGAGTCCGAACTCGTCAATGATGGCTTGCCTAAATGCATAGCACAATATCAGCCACCACGTCTCAGAAGCGATGACAAGGGATGTACAGTTTATCATCTTCCAACCGGTCACCAATTTCCTTCGCCACCCTCCTCGGGTTTCTTAGGCTGATCTTGCCGTTGTTGTCATCATCGAAAAGCTGAAACGAGCGGCGGATCTCTTCTATGGGATCACGGGTCAGTATGCGCTCGCTCACTGCAGAACGGAGCAAGAATGATGTCATCGAGGGGTAAATAGTGGAAAGGAATTGAATGACGTGGAACGCGTAAAGCATGCACTCACTGATTTTCGCGAAGTTTTCGAAGTCCATCAGTCCGTGTCCTGTCCTGTCATGATCTCGCAGGATCTTCAGCACCTCCGCTTTCTTCAAGTCGAACCCTAACGCACACATAGCGCTTGATCACAGCGAACCGCTTTTGAGCTCGTGGTAGTCGACGCAGCCATCCTTGTCCATGTCGAAGAGCTTGAACGCCTCTTTGATCTCCTGCTTTTGCTCATCGATGAGCGCAAGGACGCGTGTGTGCGTCGCTTGGCCTTTTATGCCGCAGAAATCGGGTACATGTGTGACGGTGGAAAGAGTGTTGTGGGGAGGCAGCGCTAAGGGCGAGGACGACGCGTGATAACAAGTTGAACGCGCGACGCGTCCATCACGTCACGCCGAGCGGTGGCGGGCCAAGCGGGAGTGTCATGATAAGATAGGTCGCTTGTCGTTTTGGAGTCGTCTAGCCAGCAGCCAGTGCATAACACGACCCAGCTCATCCGTGCCTTGTATCTGCTCTGTTTTCACGCATGTCCGCGCTCGACGACACCATGGCCATTGAGATCGCATCTCTTCCCGTCCCCGCCACCGCTGATGCCTCCAAGCTCGCTGGCTTTGGCATAGAGGTCAAGGGCATCAACCCCAGCGAGTTGACCCCCGAACCGTTGAAGCGGATCGAGCAGCTTCCCTACAATGTTCGGCTCGTTGCTTGTCCCCTTTCTTCCATGTGGGTGACTGATATCTGCCACGCACTCAGCATGATGTTTTGCTCTTCCGCGATGTGGACCTCACACCTGAGCACTGAGCAGCAGTACAGGCTCACAAATGCCAGTCCATCTGTATCCGTGTTTTGCACAGTACAATAGCAAATGAACATTGGCAGGCCTTTGATCCGACCTCGGAGAGCTATGGACGCGGAAATAACAAAACGGAGAAAACCAAGAAGTCTATCCTACATCCGGATCTCAAGACCATCCCTCGCCAGCCCCAGGTCCAGCTCATCAGGTATGGCACTGTCTACAACCACGAGGGCCTCCTGGAGGCAATGCTCAAGCATCCCTCTCACACTACCTTCCACAAGATGCAGGTTTCGCGCGAGGAGGAGGAGAAGGCTACACGCGCTTCTACCGCTGGCACATCGACGCGGCGCTGTACGACCTGTCCCTGCCAAAGGTGACCACGCTGTATGGGATCAAGGTGCCCAACGGCGATCAGCAGATCTGTCGGTACGACGAGGGCACGGGCGACGAGCTGGAGGTCCCGTTGGGTACGACGGTGTTCGTGTCTAGCAAGGTCATGTTCGATCTCCTTCCTCCAGAGCTGAAGAGCCTGGCAGTGCGAAGCAAGGTCAAGTATGTGCACCCCTACGTGTTGATAGCCCCAACGCACGCAATCTCCGCCGGGCTTAGTATAGAAATGGAAGGACTCGAGCTTCCTTTGGACCAGCTTCCTCCTTGGGAAGAATCGCGGAGGAGAACACTCCCTCTTGTATGACATCAAACATCATTCGGTGCCAAGATAGATTGCTGAAAACTTCTTTAGTTTTGGAGGAACCCCGTTACAGGCAGTCTGCACTTCGAAGCCCACCCCTGCGGAGCTGCGGAACTACTTGTCGATCCTCTTTCTGAGGGCACGAACCACGAGGGTGTACTATACCCAGATGGTGTGCACATCACCGACCTAGGCACAGTCCATTGCTCTATAAAATGTGCTCTATAAAATGCAGAGGCCTGCTATCGCGCCTTCGGTGAGTGCTTCTAGCAGAATTACTCGAGAAGGACAACCGCCTCTGATATCATCGTTCCTTCTAAAGTCAGCTTGTATATCCACATGACTGGTGAGCGTCACCTGAAATAGACTCCTCGCATCCGCTGATGGGCATCGTTCAGGAATGAGCACGATCTCGTCGTCTTCCACAACCGCAGAATCTTGCATTCGGTTGTCGGTGCGTTCAAGCCACACCAGGTGCGGGCGTTCCATCAGTGCAACTTGGCTGCTTCGGACGACCCTGCTGGGCCCACACCGGAGGACGTCAAGAAATATGCCTGAGCATTCACCCTAAAATCATGTTCAAAAATATAAATATGATAATTCCTCCCCTTCAGTCAGAAACGCATTGCTCGCATCTCATTAGATCAGATGCACTCCTCCCTCGTGACGGCGAGCGGCAGCGAGCGGTGTGCTCCGAGCAAGGGACCCGGCCGCGGCCACGCGGCGCTTTTCGAGTAAGCAAGACTGGCCAATCTTGTATCGTAAGCCGGCTTCAGTTCAACCGTAGTCTACATCATAGTCGGAGTTTCAAACTGCTGTGCCGAACGCCTGCGCGCGTCTCCCCTCCTCGCAGTCGAGCTCGACCACATCTCGCCATGTCCAACCCAATGAAAGCCTCGACGTCTTCAGCGCCCGTCGCCCACAACGCCCTCCCGCCTCCCTCTACCGCCTCTGCATCGCGCTCGTCTCGTTAGCGCCTCACTCGCACATTAAAGGTCTTGGCCTCACTCTCGAGGGTTTTGCGAATGCTGATGCCGCAGGGTTCATCGGACAGACGACCGCACGTGAAGGAAGTCGTTTTTAGATTGATTTCGAGACATGGGCAAATGAGCAGTCGGTAACACGCCATCTATAGGCCTGCGGCATGGTCGTCGAGCTCGTCAAGTCGCGTAAGTTCTCTGGACGCGCTCTCCTGCTCGTCGGTGCGCCGGGTACGGGAAAAACTGCACTCGCCCTTGCCATCTCGCAAGAACTTGGTGTGAAGGTCCCATTCTGTCCTATGGTTGGCTCGGAAGTGTACAGCACGGAAGTCAATAAGACGGAGGTTCTCACAGAAGCATTCCATCACGCTATAGGCGCGTCTCCTCTCGTCTATGGCTCATTACCATTTCTCACATGCTTGACCACCAGGCTCGCGGATAAAGGAAACAAAAGAGGTATATGAGGGTGAAGTGACGGAGCTCTCACCGGCGGAGTATGAAAATCCTCTGAGCAGGTACGGAAAGATCGTCTGTCGTGTCATCGTTGGGCTCAAGACAGTCAAGGGCACGAAGCAGCTGCGGCTGGACCTGAGTGAGGCTCTCCTCAAGGAGAAGATCGTGGTCGGTGATGTGATCTACGTCGAAGTAGGAACAGGTGCGGTGAAGGTACGTTCATGTCTTGATTATGTTCACCATCATCGTTGACTCTTGCTTGTAGCGGGTCGGACGCTCAGACACATATGCATCATCTTATGATCTAGAGTCGGAGACATATGTACCTTTGCCAAATAGCGAGGTGCACAAGCGCAAGGAACTCGTGCAGGACGTGATGCTCAGTGATCTCGATGCGGCAAATGCACGACCGCAGGGCGGCCAGGACATCATGAGTGTGATGGGCAGTCTCATGAAGAGCGGCAGAACAGAGGTGACGGAGAAGCTGCCCCGCGAGGTGAACAAGGTTGTCAAGAAGTATGTCGACCAAGGCGTCGCCGAGGTCATCCCGAGTGTTGTCTTCATCGACGAAGTGCGTTCTCACATGTGCTAGGTGCTGGCCCAGAAACTGATGGACCTTTCGTCAGGTACACATGCTTGATATTGAGTGCTTTACGAACCTCAATGCTCTGCTAGAGTCTCCCATGGCGCCAACAGTGATTCTCGCTACCAACCGGGGCAACTCACTCGTCCGGGGAACGATCAATATCGTGGCACCACATGGGATCCCAGTCGGCCTTCTTGATAGGCCCGTTGGCACTTCTCGGAGGCAGCGACGGACAGGATAATCGATATTAAACTACTCCTTCAATAGATGCCTCATCGTCAAAATGGACAGTCACACCCACGAAGAGATTGCAAAGGTCGTCCAACTCCGCGCTGATGTCGAAGGTCTGCAACTCGGCCCCGGCGTCCTCGACAAACTTGCACAGCGCGGCGAGACGACCTCACTTCGGTAAGTCATCCTCAATACATCTTTGCACAGTCGATTCGGACATGTCGTGGCTCATCTCGCTCGCAATAAGTACGCACTGCAGCTCCTCACACCGGCCTCGATTCTCGCAGGTTTGGCTGGCTGCAAGCAGATCGAGCTGGAGGATGTCAACGAGATGGGTTGAGCTCTTCTTGGATGCGAAGATAAGCGCGGCGGCGATCGGCACGGAGGGCAGGTTCAATGCGGATAAAATGCTGTAATGTTTGCACATGAGCGAGCGGATGGTGGTATGTAGCACCCGGTATGTGGGTAGCTTGGTGATTGGCGACGACAGCTGATTCAGCGCCGTTCTATCCGTCGCAGGCAGGGTGTGAATGCGAAGGAGCTTGAGCAAAACATTGACGAGCCTGGCATGGTCGTCTGTTTCATACATAGCAGTACTGATTCCCGATGTATTAGATCCTCAAGGCGTGCAGCATGACCCGCACGCTCAATTCAATGTGTATATAATTTTTTCTGCTAGCGCGGTCCCTGGGCATTCGACTGGTGCTGCGTATGAGCGGCTATGCCTATGTGCATGCTATGTTGTGTGTGGAAGTCGCCTTCTGGTGTGGAGTCTCGCTATGGCTGGAGGATCCGCGCCGACGGGCGAGGGTTCGGGCTTGGGGAACGCATTAGGTGTGTATTGATTTGTCTCGAGCTGTTGGTCGGGGCGATTACCTGGCCATAGATCAAGCTATTCCGAGCAACTGCGCAGTTACCTTTATACGCATTTCAGGTTCGTTTAAATCGATATACAGTGCTTATGACAATGCTCACCCGTGTGAATCGATTCGGACATGCTCAAAGCACGTAGCTCGCAATGGCCGAATGAGATCTGCCTTCATTGTGCAGGTCGCTGCCTTAGAAGGCGAACAATTGAGATTGTTCTGCCATTCGGGGCGGTTCTGCATTCATTCGTGCGGATCCAGGTTGTGTCATTGCTTCTCTGACCCCACTGAGTCTTCCTCGCATTAAATTATAGGCGCCTCAGTACTGCATCGATCGGGACACCATCAGCTACCGCCCTAGTTTCCATGACATGGCGAACGCCTGACGACCAATTCTGGCCGCCTACATGAAACAGTGACATTGTTTGAGAGCACCGACCCACCAACGTGCGAGGCACTCCATCGGTGGTGTATTCCTTCCATTCATATGGCACACAGGTGGGTGACCTCGAAGTGCTGCTGTGAGCATTCTCATAGCACCTGGCTCTGCTGACCTTGCAACAAGAAGCTTCTTTTGTGATAAATGAGGACATCGCAATCTGGATGGAAGACGTCCTGGGCGTCGAAGGGCAGTCAGCCGACCCAGTTTGACGGCGTCGATCCCACGCACTCTCCACGACTCTCCGTCGATGATGCTGGTGCCGCAGGTACCGCCCCGGCTGTGGGACTGGTGTAGTCGTGAGTGGCTGGTCGTCACGGCAGATGACTGCGCCGCGGTCATCCGGACCTGGAGCAGTGCACTGATCACGGCAATGGAGAGACACTCATCGGATTGTGATACGAGGCGTGTGGGCAATGAAATATTCTAGTGCTGACCCAGATCCGCCTCTGCCTCCTAACGTGTTCAAATGCATGTACACACGAGGGCATTTGGATTGAACTCGTGTGCCGCGACTGATCTCACGTCTGTTCATAGCGAAGGTAGCCCAGGCTCGCCACGTATCGCATGATCTGTTCAGGATCACATCAAGAACCTTTTCGAATGACATAGGTACTGTACATGCTCGTCTTGGCGACCAGCGAGGCATGCAGAGACATCGTACAACATTTTCATATCAGGGCCTAAACTCTGACCAAGGTCTGTGACAATGTGTTTTGATAGTAGTTCAGAATCAAATCATGGCGGGCTCGGGCACAGTCGAACCTGCGCTTTGTCCAGGGGCGCCGCCACAGGCGAGTGCGACGTTTTATCTATCTCTGTGAACGTGGTGCCAAGGGACGGCATGGGCCACATTCGCTAGGGCTTTGCTTAGCAAGACGGAGAAGGAAGTCGCTTTCAGGCTTCTTGCGGCGGTCTATTCAGTCGAGCATCCCGGATCGGGCAGGGGGATCTTCTTCTATGTGCTAGGTGGGGCCTTTCCTCTGCAAAAGATGATAATTTGAGCACTTCTGTGCTGATTAATTGGCACACCCTACTCCGATCACGCTTGCGCTGCAGTCGTCCTCATATATATATAGCCACATAAAACGTCCTGCGTACAGGATTGCCCCTCCTTCATCCCTTCACGCGTAGATTCCCATACTTTCTCGAGGACCGCACCGGCCTCTACACCGACTCAGGCTACGACGACATCTATGACTGTCTCTTCCTGCGCGTCGGCCGCCCGAAGCTTACCGGGTCTGCGCTCACTGTCTACAACACAGGACGCCGCTCCTCGAGTCGACGCGAGTCGCGACCAATATCTATGCAGCGCACCCCGGGTATTGTACTCGAATTCGGGGCTCACGGTGTACTAGGAAAGGTCACATTCGTGGACGCGGGGGTGTCCATGCCCATGGGCCAGTATCTGAAGAAAACATCCATGTTCGGGGGGTGAGTAGATCCACGAGGACACATTTGGTACTGCTGAGGCTGATGAGATGGACCGGTATTGCTAGATCGCTATCGCGGAAGTTCCGGGTGTCCGATGGACAAGAATACAGGTGGATGTACAGAAGCAGCAGCGAACACGAGTGGTGTGTGCGTGAACCATGGCCGTCATCTGATGACGAATGCTGACGCACTGATTGAACTAGTGTGTGGACTGCAATGAGCGCATCGTCGCGCATTACGATCTGAGGCCGCCAGACAAGCCCGTTTTTAGCATGTCCGGGAACATCCTCACGATATATGAAGCATACGTTGGCCTCGCTGTCGGTACGTGCTCTTCGTTGATGACAATCTCGTGTGATACTAACGTGTACTTGCTCGTTCGCTTCATCCAGAGACCCTCGCATCTCTCACAATTATGCGCCATATCGAAGCACACAAGCTCTGAGCATGATTGAGCTTGCGAACAGAATTGTGAGATCTACGACGTTAGCGTGCTCGATCTGGTTCAAAATATGCTGCCGATGCAGCGTGATTGACACTACAATCGTTAGATATGCATTCGTACCCGTTATCATTTTCTTTTATCAAATTTTTTGACTTGTTTTTGGCGAGCGAGCTGACGGGAAGCGTTCGTATAGGTTGATTGGGAATGGAGGCAGAGATCCCAATGGTTCTGGAGGAATGATACCTAACACTGCTCCTCCGTTTGGGATGACCCGCTGGACGACGCAGACGACACAGATTACGTGTCAGTCACGCCCTACAACTACTCACACAGTCTATTCATGGACTTCAGGTATGTCGTTTATTACAGATCACCGTTAGCGTTGGAAGCCACTTCATTGCTTATGCACGCCCTTTACTCCAGGGAACCATCAACCCGCGATCTGGATGGGCGACTCTGGTCAAGCAGTCGTAGTACCGGGGATTGGCAGGGTCAAGAGCGATTTCGATGAACGCGGTATGGAGATCGTCTATGATGAGAGTGGTCGCAGTGAAGCTGTGAGCGCCAGTCATTACGCTGTGAACCTCGCCGTACCCGAGAAAGACGGTGAAGGAATATTCAAAGCTGAAATGAGTGCAGGTGAGTACCTGTTTCAACGCACTTTCGGAAACACATTGCGGCAAATGCTGCTGCTTCGCTGTCTTGAAAGCGTGAGGTACGTTCCTCGCCGAACGTGACTCGGTGTTTTTCTCTGGATCAGCATCAGCGACATGCCTAAACGCATCGCATCGTAGTCATCTCATGGCGCTCCGACGTGATGTCGGCTTTCCCTCAATTGGGATTTTTTGGCACTATACGGAAGGGCGATTAGCAAACGAGCTATCTACATGCCATGCCGCGGATCTTGTGTTAGTCTCCGCATTTATTTTCGACGCGAGTAGAAGGTGTCTTCTAGGACCCGCGTATGACCACCTTGCCGCTTGGATTAGCTACGCTGTCAAATACACCACACATTCAATTATCTTCACAACTACAGATTCTTTGTGCGATGCCTACAATCTAACCCCTTGTGCTAACAATTTCGCCTCCTCCTCAGTGTCCTCTCGCTCTTTCTCTGACAGCCAAGCGATTTGTGCCCTATGTATGGCAATGCGCCTACGTACCGCTATCAATCTTCCAAGCAGTGTTTGATATCTGTACTTGTCCTCATCCGAGGCAGGCAGTAAGCCATCTGAAAATTCTGACATCGACATTGTGCTTATGGCTTCATCCACCCTGCTGAGAGTAGGTGTAGATGGACCTGTATGGGGACAAGCGATGCTGATGCCAAGTGAGGATGGACCTGCCCCAGGTACAGCGGCCTTGATGCCCTCTGACGATGGACCTGCACCAGGTACAGCGACCTGGTTGTCCTTCGACGATGGACTGGTGTGGGGTACAGGCATCTTGACTCCCTCCGACGATGGACCAGCACAGGGTACAGTCACCTTGACACCCTCCGATGATGAAGCAGCACGTGGTACAGTCACCTTGACACCCTCCGACGATGGACCTGCACCAGGTACAGTGGCCTGGTTGCCCTCTGACAATGGACCAGCATGGGGTACAGTCACCTTGATGCCCTCCGACGATGGACCTGCACCAGATATAGCGGCCTGGTTGCCCTCTGACGATGGACCAGCACGGGGTACAGTCACCTTGACACCCTCCGATGATGAAGCAGCACGTGGTACAGTCACCTTGACACCCTCCGACGATGGACCTGCACCAGGTACAGTGGCCTGGTTGCCCTCTGACAATGGACCAGCATGGGGTACAGTCACCTTGATGCCCTCCGATGATGGACCTGCACCAGATATAGCGGCCTGGTTGCCCTCTGACGATGGACCAGCACGGGGTACAGTCATCTTGATGCCCTCCGACGATGGACCAGCACGGGGTACAGTCATTTTGAAGACCTCCGACGATGGACCTGCACCAGGTATAGCGGCCTGGTTGTCCTCCGATGATGGACCTGCGTGAGGTACAGTCACCGTGATGCCCTCTGGTGACAGACCCGCATGGGGTATAGCGGCCTGCGTGCCCTCGAACGATGAACCAGCACACGGTACAGTCACCTTGACGCCCTCCGACGATGGACCTGCACCAGGTACAGCAGCCTGGGAACCCTCCGATGATGGACCAGCATGGGGTACAGTGGCCTGCGTGCCCTCCGAGGATGGACCGGCATGGAGTGTCGTAAGTTCTGACATAGGACGTACAGCGATCTTTGCAGCAGAAGTTGTCTTGAGAGTCGTGATGTGTTTGTTATTTCTACCACGCAATGCCAAATCTTGTAGTTGGCGAATGGTATCGTCCATATCTGCATATCTAGGAGAGACATTGGCTGGTGAGGTCAGCACTGGCAACTTTAGCTCAGAATGACAATAGAACTCACGCGAAACAATGCGGCTCTTGATCAACTCCTCATCCCAAGAGCAACGCCTGTGTGCACGCTTGCAGGATTGACATGAGAAACCCTTTTTACTGCCTATCACTATGCATTCAGCCTTTCGTATGCACAAATCGCACTTCCCCTAACACAGACCTTCAGCACGCGAAAACTGAGGATGTAGCTCAAACAACGTACCAAGCCTTTGGTCACCTGTCCAAGCCATTTCGCGCGAACCTGTCTGGCTCGGTGTCTGTTCACCATGGGATTCTGTAGTGGTTGCGCTTCGTCAAGGCCCGTTGAGATTGTGGCAGGTGGAATGGCCTTGGAACTGTCCGGAATCATGTGCTGTGGGTGCTGATTGCCAAGAACGTTGCCTGGCTCCCCCGCGCGCTGTTTGCCTTTGTCTTTGAGGTCACTCGGCTCTTGAGCATGCTGTTCGTCCTTTAGGTCACTCATACTAGAGGTGCGCTGTTCATCCAGAGGGTCGCTTGTCTCTGAGACGCACTGTTCGCCTTGGAGACCACTCTGCTCCTGGTAGCGCTGTTCATCCTTCAAATCGCCAGTCTCTGCGGTGCGCCAACTGTTCACCTTCGCAAACACGTCCATCTCCTTTACGGTAGCCTCCGAATGCTGGCCCTCCAAATCTGATACGCTGGCCACATAATCATCCTGGTATGCAGAATACGGTGTGTTTGCGATTTTGGAGTACGGTTCTGCAGCATGACGAGTAACACCGTGCTCACGTGTTACACTATTATGGTGGGGAAGAAAACGTGCGAGGGAAGGTTCTGGTGAGAGTGGAAGACGTGGCGGTGAGGCAGGCAGGTTAGCCAGCCTGAATTCAGCCGGCGGGGGTGAAGACTGATGTAGCGGCTTAGGGGGATACCAAGAGGGACCAGGTGCAAATTCGAGAATGATACTGCTGTTACTTATGTCCATGTCATCTGTTTCATGCGAGCTGTCAATGCTCATATCCATCGAGTCAGAAGGAGCATTGTTAGTCACATGCGGAGCGGGCGGTGGAGGCATGGCAGATGGAGGTACGGGGGGTGGTTTGCGTTGAGCCGATCGGAGGCTGCGTCTAGACTCGGCAATCTGATGCAGTAATTTGTTCAAGGTTTGCATATCAATCTGATTAGCGGTATATGCCTTCAAGGAGGCTTCGCTGAGCCTTTCGAACCCGACCCTATTCTCTATGCCCTGGAACAAGGGAGCCGCCCACGCAAACCACGAAGGCTTTGCATGCTGAACCAAGAATCGACGAATGGTGGCAATCTCATGGTTGAATCCATCCGGCAGAGGATGAGTGGGATCTTCATAGCGGCGAAACTCGCGGGGCTTATCCTCGCACAATCCCTGCGATGAGACTCTGAGCCTTTGATAAATTGACGCTCAGCATGAGAGGCACTCACAAATATGGACAGAACATCAAACAACCACTTCGGAATGTTGTGGGGTGTCTCGCGAAGGATGGGAATCATCGCAATATACTGGGTAAGCCGTCGTCTTGCAGTGTAGTTTGCCATAACAGACAGGCTGGGCAAAGTCTGGACAGAGACCGTGGACAGACCATCAGCGGACATAGTGATGGTAGGAGATGAGAAACGACGAGAGGAACGACAATTGGGAAAAGCGTTGAGGGCCCTTACCATCACTGTATTGATATATGAGGCCGTGAACTTCGCTGTAATGAGGCCGCGAACTTCGCCGCAAGACCATGCGGCTGCCCTGATGATCACAGTTTGAGCAGTGCCTTCTTTCCGACGAGCAGACTTATTTCATCGGATCAGATAATTGAGACTTGCCTCAGCGTACACTTTTCTGGCCTCTGCATCGCCAGGCAGACAAAATGGATTTATGCTATGCCATTCATCAAGCCATTCCACGAATCGGCGGAGATTTCGAAGTTTAAATTGTCTATTAATCGTGCTGTGCTTGCATACATTGAATTCAATGTATCACGTTGGCGGTAGCACTTCCACATTTGCAACAATGGAGTGCCCCACTTGGGCAGGAAGTCACAATCAAAGGTCATAATGCCGCTTCTATGTCATCCGGCTATAACTTCATGTGCATCTAGCGTGATGGAAGCACTTTGATTAAAGCTGTGCTCACCATGAGGCCACACCGCAAGTAGATCAGGCCATATAACTCTTACCTCGAAGGTGGGTGCTCGATGGGTTGCAAATCAATGGATACTAGCGAGACAGCACCCTGAGCAGCATTGACAACGGATACAAGGAAGAAGGCAAAATATGAGCCACTCACCTACTAGCCGGCCGCAAGGCAAGCATTAGGGATGACGTGAGGCGGGCTGCGCCGCACTTCGCGCACACGGGAACCTGCCTAATTTGGGCCGTGAACCGCGGTTCACAGGACTTTGCATGGGACCTCAAAATCCCAAGAAAAGTCCGCCGGTGCGGTTCACGTTTTCGCCGTGTGAACTGCCTCCTCATCCCGCACCTCCTCCGTGACTTTCCACATCAGTCACGCGTGACGTCACAGTCCTGCACAACCTGCGTGAAAGTGCCGCCGAGTCCGCGGATGTGATTGGACGTGGTCGCGAATAAGCAACGTGGCGCAACGCGTCTCCGGACTTTCACACCAACTCTTCCTCCGCTCATTACACAACCCTCGGTCTGCTCGGTGAACACGCCGAGAATCGACGTCCAGCGCGCACGCAATGCGTCTCCGGCTCTCTCTGGCCGTCCCATGCCTCTTAGCGGCCCTCTTGCACGGCACAACCGCAGACCCAAGTGGATCCTCGCTCTACCCATCAGGCCTACTCCCACTCATCGACAACCAAGCCAACGCGCTCCTCTCCGCGGGCCAGTTCCACGATGCCGCAAAGGTCTACTCGGACGCCATAGGTGCGCATCGTCTCTACCACCCAACACCACTTGCACGGTTCTCGTAGTCGACGATTTCCAAGTGAGAACGGTATGCTAACGCGCTTGCAGAACAGTCTCCGATCGACTACTTGCTCTACTACAAACGAGCGATGGCCTAGTACTCGCTCAGCCGCTTACCCGCCGCCCTCGCCGACCTGGACAGGTTCCTCTCCCTCACCTCCAACTCATTCGACAAGGCCCACCTCTACAGGGCCCGCATCCTCACCAAAGAAGGCCGCTTCTCCGAGGCCAGAGAGGCCGTCAAGAGATACACGTCCGACGCGAAAGACGAGGAGGCACAGGAGATGCTGCTTGCGATCGGCGAGGCAGAGGCAGCTGCGAAGAAAGCTGAGAAGGCAATGCTCGCGAAGCTGTGGACGGCGTGCGAGGAGGCTGCGACCACTGCGTTGCGCACGGCTTCTCATTCGGTCGAGATCAGGCGGAGGCGGGCAGACTGTGCTCTAGCAGCGGGTGACATCGAGGGCGCCGTCGGCGACCTAACGTGAGTTGCACTCTTCATCTATCCAGGTTCTCCGTCCTACATCTCCTGCAGCCGATTAACCCACCTCACGACCCCATCAACGGCGCTCTTCATGAAGATCTTCCGCCTCTCCTACTTCCTCGGACCCTATTCCCCGGACGACTCCCAATCCTACGCACTAACAACCCTCAAGGAATGCCTCAAATTCGACCCGGACTCCTCGCAATGCCTGCCCGCGCACCGCCTCGTCAAATCTCTCGACAAGCAATATAAAGCCCTCCACGAACACCTCGACATCTCCGACTTCCGCGCCGTCCTCTCGCTCCTCCTCGGCAACTCAAACAAAGACGACGGGCTCCACCCCACATTCGAAGCCGCGCTCGAAAAGCACACGACGCGCGACGCGCTCAAGATCCCCTTCACGCTCCCCACGCCCCACGCGAAACGCCCGTCCCCCCCGGCGGCAAGCTGTCCTGCGCGCGGCACAGCGCGCGCACGTCAAGCTGGGCGACGCGAGGCGCGGGGTGCGGTGGTGCGGGGCATTGTTGGGGATGGAGGGGATGCGGGAGGATGTGGATGGGTTGGTTGGAAGGGGGGAGGCGTTGTTGGTTAAGGAGGAGTGGGAGGAGGCGTTGAGGACTTTTGAGCGGGCGTTTGAGGCAAGCGGGAGGTCGGATCCCGAGGTGGGTCGTGCGCTGGTGTGAGATACGTGAGGGCGTTTGACGATAATTGGGATTGCGATGCAGATACGTCAGCGTTTGCAGAAGGCGTAGAGGCTTTTGAGGCTGTCTCGGCAGAAGGATTATTATAAAGTGTTGGGCGTGCCGCGCGATGCGGACGCGAAGGCGATCAAGAAAGCTTAGTGGGTTCAAACCCTCTTCACCGTGCTCTCCTTCGCTCACTGTGCGCGCACAGCCGAGACGCTGCGAAAAAGGCACACACCCCGACAAGGGCGGGAGCGAAGTTAAGATGGCCGCGGTGAACGAGGCTTACGAGGTGCTCAGCAGCCCAGGTACGTTCACCCCCCCCCCCCTCCTCTTGCGCATCCACGTCGTGCTCATGGATGCCCCACACAGAGCTCAGGCAGCGATTCGACAACGGCGACGACCCGAACGACCCGATGTCTCAGCAGGGCGGGCACCCTTTCCCTGGGGGGCCGGCTGGCGGTGGTGGTGATTGTTGGGGAAGGGGGGGGGTGGGGCCGCAGCAGCAGTTTATGCATTTCTTCCAGTAGGGCGGGTTCCCTGGTGGGTTTTTGTTCCGGCAGAGTCCGCCTGGGCAGCATGGGCATGGACATTGAATGTTGATGAGATGTGCATCGTTCGTTTGTTGTTGCTGTGCCTCTGTGTCGTGGACTGAGCGTGGCTGAACAGTTGTTCGGTGGTAGATTCTTCTGTATACCGTGTACGATCAACTCTAGTAGTGTCGCTAACTTACACTTGCACTTTGATCTTCGCATACAAGATGGATGCATGGAATAGATTCTTGTAAAAGCCAGTAAGTCGTTAAGTATCGAGTGATACAAGGTGAGTAATATGTGTGAACCGCAGTGTCGTCGCTGCAGAGATCCTCTTCGGACAGAACCCCAGCCGTTAGGGCATCCTCCTCCGCGAGCCTCGATGGTAGTAAGGAGTAACGCACTCGAGTCCGTGCAAGAAGCGGGCATGACCGGTGCACCGGTGACGGATGCGGTCATAATGGACGCGTAATTAATTAGTGAATCTGCCGTTCGATGTGCGATCGGCTGTGGTGACGCGCACGCATCAGCCTCGGCAGAGGCGCTCTCGCCACCCACCTAAATCCCCAATTCAACCCATGAACGCGACCACAACTCAAACACAACAGGAAACTCACCAACGTCGCCGACGCCCACGCCTGAGGCTCCGCACTCATCTCAAACACGATCTCTCCGCCCGAAACAATCTGCTCGTGTCTGATGATCGGCACCTCTACCGATTCACCATTGAGGGTGAGCGACTTGATGTACGGCATCGATGGCGCGCCCTTGGAGGTGATGATGAGCGGGCGATTTGAGGCAGGGAGGTCGATCGTTACCTTGTCATAAAATGGCCTGAACGCATTAAGTTAGATTCATGACCGGAGCTCAGGATGAGCAGATAATGAGGTTACTTACGTGCCGACAACATATTCTGCCGATACGGGGTCCACCGGATAGAAGGCCAACGCAGAGAAGATATACCACGCGCTCATCTGTCCGCAATCTTCGTTCTATAATCGAAGTCAAGATCATCATGCATCTCTGAACGAGAAGAGCAGGACACACACCAGATAGCCCATTCACGGATGAGTTATAGTTCGCTTCGGCCACTTCGCGACTACGTTCCTGTGATTTTGACGCAGCACCTGCGAGTGCATACAGGTGTGGAATGTGATGTGATAGCTGTGATATCCGATTGTCAACCCCTCAACGACCACACATGTCATGAGAGCAATCTACCTCATTCGTATGATCATTATGCCCTCCATCGAAATGCTCGTCCAAAAATGCCACGAAAGATGCATTCTCCCCACGACACTCAATCAACCCAGGGATATCCTGTATCACATCAAACGTATACGCCCTCATATCACCCTCCGTCCATCCCTGATCCTGGCCTGCCCACGAGTCATTCGCGTCGCGAGCCTCCATGAAGCCTGTGTCAGAGTTGAAGATGGCGAATGGAGCAGTGAGCGCGCGATTGCGGAAGAAGGTTGCGTTCTCGGTGTGGCCGAGGTGTTCAGCGAGGGCCGAGACGGCGTAGTCGTCGTCTGCGTGATCTCTCGTGAATATAGCAATGAGAAGGAAGCAGAGTGGCTTACAGGCATAGTCCAGTTTCGCGAAGCGGCTTCGGAGTGAATATCGTTCGCAACCCAACCCTTCTCTTCGTATACAGAAGACAAGCCCGCATGTACTTCATATCCGACTCCCTATGCCATACCATTCAAATAAGGGCCTTTCCTACATCTTTTTAAATAGAAATCGTACCTCTTCGCGATCATAGTAACTACAGGCATGCCATGATTATTCAGAAGATATGGTGTGATCATAAGCGGGACTCACGAGATTGTCCAGTCGTCAACAGGCGGAGCAGTCGCATCTTTATATACCGCCTCATATGCCAGATCCACATCGAAGCCACTTGATGCTCTTGATGACAGCCTCAGTAACGAGCGAGTCGGCATGCGTGGCCACCTGCTAGATATCGGTCCGTATGTCCGTGTAGACTCCAATCGCTGACCGACCATGATATTCGTCTCTACCAAAAGCGGTAAGAATAGCAGATGAGAAATATGTAAGGTACATACCCACGATGTTCTTCCACATCGGCAGCCAGCCACTCTACAATCAATATACTGTCAGCATAGCGTAGCTTTTTATTTGATCTGCCAGTCATTCACCTGCTGATAATCCTGGAGCATGCTCCTGACCATTCCCGGAATTCGTTCAGGAGCAAGCAGGATCTGCCATGCCCATTCGGCGCGGTACGTATCCTAGCAGTGCATCAGTCAATTTCAATGATAGTACATTCCATCTTGATGAGGCGATGCACCCATATCGAGTAGCCAGTGTACGAACCGCCCTCGTGCACGCTGTCCTCATACCCCGAATAGTATTCTCCGTCCTCGTCTTGCTCGTGTGGATACTCACTGTATAGAACACTGCCCTCTGGTCGTCTTTCGTGCCCTCGACCTTCACCCTACCCAGTTTCTCCACCCACGCCTCCCGCGTCCTCCTCGCCGCCTCCACGAGGCTCGTCCCATCCGGAACCTCCCTCTCCAAGCTCGCGCGCGCGTTTTCCTCGCTAATGAATGAAACGCCTACCCTTACGTCCACAACCGTCGTGCCATTCGCAAAGCGCACATACGCTGACAACAGTGAACCTTCACCACTCTCCGCATCCTCCGAGATGCTCCCGTTCTGCACTACCCCGTATGCGACCAATGGGACCGAGAAGCGTGCGCAAAAAAATGACCCGCAAACGATGGCGCGGGGCTCGGGCCGAGGATCCTGTCTTGCCGCTCGGGTTTACGGCCGCAAATCTCTGGTAGCGCAGACGCGCAGGTTCCCAGCGGGTATGCAGAGATGGAGCCAATGGGGCAAGTCGGCCAGCTGCAGTTGGGGCAGGCGGCGCGCGTCGCCTCGAGGAGGATGTATGGTGATGTATCGACGGGGAAGGTGAAGCGGAGGTGGCCGATGCGCGAGGCTGTGGAGAAGAGCA